ACTCCAATAACCTGCTCCCAACATCAGCTAGTCAGAGCATTCCTACGAGAACTGGATATGATAGATAGATAGATAATTTATTTGCATTACTTACAGTACACAAACAAAAATAGACATAAATGCACAGTGAAAAAAGATGAAAAAAAGATATATGTACAAAAAATAAAAAAAAAAATTAAACAAAATGGATAAAATTAGTAACAGTTTTTTCCTCTCTTGCGTGTGCCACAGTAACACAAAATGGTCACAACTTAGCTTATTGTTTTGCCCTAAAAAGAGCAAAACACTGAGCCTGTTGTGGCCAAAAGTGAACCGCGAAATTCCATTGAAAAAAATAATAAAAAAAAAGATATATAGATAAAATACATGATAGCGGCGCTATTAATTTGTAATTTGCTTTAGAAACAGCATCTCATTTTCCATGAAAGGTGTTATAGGTATTACACCTCTCACACAGTGTATTCTGTAAGCTGTAATCAAATAGGTGCAATGAGTCGTCAGATTCTTTGTTATTCCGAGTAGCATGCAAGTAGATTTTGATCCGCAAACACGGGTTCATAGTGCCAAATTAATATTTATAAATGCTAGTAGATTCATTATTTTTATTTTAAAAAGAATAAAACGCACCGACTGGCAACGATATGTTTCATTGGCATTAAATTAAAAAAAAAATTATCAGACATGCTGTGTGAGCTTGTTCGCCACCTTCGTGGAATGGAAAAAAAATGAATTTAGAACACGGAATCGAATGTCAACAAATATATTTTGCTCGGGTCCAGATTAACCATGTCGTGGCCTCATTTCAAAAATAATAGAAAAAGGAACCATATTTGAATTCAGAACTGGAACCAAGTTTGAAAATTTGAACTTTTATGAATTGACATATTGACATGAAAGCTATAATTATGAATGATAACCTAACAGTTGATTGTTATCATAACAGTTCAGCCGGCGTGCGACATGCGCCATTTACGTGTGCCACTTTGCCCTCTGCTTCGCTTCCTAGCATATCGTTCGTCCTATTCGACCTTCAGTTGCCACAAGTCATACAAAGTTCATGCTCGCATCAATTCGACTCCTCAACTTGACATTAACTGATAGGTAATACGATAAAGTTATCAACGTTTATTACTTAGTATTTGATTAACAATGCGGTTTAAATGCAATTTTGTTCGACTGTCAAAGAAGGGGATAAAGGTTTTCGGGTATAAATGGCTTGATGAATTTTAATTAATGCCGTCTAATAGATTGGGTAGGGAAATAATAATTGCTACTCGTGGTAACAGTAGAATCATAAGAATGGCGAATTAAAAAAGCTCCTAATTATTAACAGTATAAATTTTGCTCCACAAAAAAATAAACTGCGATCAATCGTAATACACCATATATGAAAGACGTGGAAGTATTGTGGATAGTGGTGTAACAATAGTGTGGCATAGCGGGCAAATCGCCACTGATGCTGTGAGGAGGCCCCTGGGTCTAGTGGTCGTGAGCACAGGTGGAATCTAATATTTATAAAATAATTTTGTAAAAAAAATATATATTTAATTAATCAAGAATTAGAGTATTAAAAATTATCATTCATGAAATATATAAATTAAATTATTGAGATTTCAATAAGATGGATATTTTCAAGTAAAATAAAAAATAAATATTATATAAAAATAAAACTACAATATCGGACTTTTTTAGATAAAGAAGAGCCTCATCCGATGAATTTATCACGGGCCTCAAATGGTATAGTCACGCCACTGGTCGTGGACAGCGTTACATTTAACATATTTTTAATTTAGAACGCGAAGTTATGTTTCTGCGAATAGATAGTGTGAATTAAAATTTTCTCTCGCGAATGCTCAGGCTGTGGAATGAGTTCCTTGTCGAGGTTTTCCCTAGAGACACAGTATGGGGTTCTTTAAAAAGTATGTATGAAGGTTTCTTCAGGGTCAGCAACGCGTACGTGACACCCCTAGTGTTGCAGGCGTCCATAGGCTACAGTGACCGTTTACAACCAGACGGGCTGTATGCTTGTTAGCCACCTTTGTGGTATAAAATAAAACGATTTTACCCTTCAATAAGCAGTTTTATGACACACTTATTTTTTTATAAATTGAGATATTTTGTTTCCTCTGACTTTACTTACGGCTGTGGGTGGTTAATTTGGTTGATAAAAGGGTAAACTTGAATATTTTTATATAACTAATTAAGTAGTAAACGTTGGCTATATTTATGTGTTGCACCATGGACATCATTGGGCCGCCTGCGCTAATAGTATACGCTGGCGGGGCACCAGTGAGGGATGATAAGTGAGAAGGAAAAGGCAGGTCAGTTAGATCATCGTGATTAATACACCTGGAATTCAGCATGATGGATTCCAAGGGGGATCATGTAGAGGTTAACCTGACAGGGTATATTGCTAGCAATAGGATTGGTAGTACACATTGCCAACAATCCTTTCCCTGTACATAGATAGAGATACTATTAGATATTCTGTAGTCATAATATCTATCATAGCCAGCAAATCGTCTTAGCCGATCCAATATGGCGGCAGAAATTCAATAAATTCTCATTAAGGAATTCCATCCCGGTGGAAAATACCTCGAGGGCGTTCGGTTTGTAGGACATTCCACAGAGGACACTTCGTTTTATTGCGCGTGGGAATATGCTAAGGGAAATGTAAAATATAATGGCATAGACATTTGGATAGAAGAGGGACCATTGCCACCCTGGCAATGATAGATAGATAAACTTTTTATTTGAGCCATTTATGACACACGTAAATTTACAAATGAGTTTATACAATCAAATTATTTACACTTTTTAAAATATACAACAAAAGATATAATATTAAAATATGGTTTCGCCATGTATGTCGCAGTGACCCAAATAGGCTACAGCTCAATGATGGTTTTGCTTAAAAGCAAAGCACTGATTTTCAGCTGCAGCCTGAAGTTAGGTTACACGGACGTGTACAACAAACCCAGAGTGTAACGGTCTAGGTTTGTTGTCAACGGTCGGCAATGGTCCCTCTTCTATCTAAATTTTCAATTTTTCTCTTCAGCCTCTCTGATGTGATGCAGATTTTCTGTACATTTCAAGTTGCATTGCAATAATTTTGCTATAATATTTTTATAGGCGTTGTTGACAAAATAAGTATTCTATGTGAATGTTAATTATTTATTTATTCTTTATTACATAATAAAGTTTCCACAAGTGCCGCATGGTATTCTCTACTAGTCTACTATTAAGTAAAAACAGGTGGCGACATGATTGTAACTTATAATGACTTATAATAATTTAAAACATACATAAAAAACAATTAATTGCCATTTTAAGTCGCATAAAAAATTGTGACACAACTTTACATATATTATTATTATTTCATTCAAAATTTATTTTATCTGTTTTTCTTAACTTTTTCGTGGTCGATAAACGACCTTTATTGCCATTTAAAGTTTCATAAAAAAAATCGAACAAATTTGTTTTCCCATTTTTGCCGTAATTCTTTCATTTTATCTTAATATTTTTAGCGACTATGTTACACGATTACATTGTTAATATTAAATCGATTATGAAAATCGAATATCATTTTGGAGTCGATGCATGTCACTTAGGTGATTGGTCCACTATTTATTATGTGATAAAAAATGTCAATTTTATGAAGAAAAATATTATTGGTTGTAAATTAAGCTAAAGTTCCATTCCGACTATCTGGATGAGTGGCCGCCCAACACTGTGCTTTTCTGCAGACATTTTCTTCAACGCATAATCTCAGCATTCAGCATCAGTATTTCTGTAGAGTTTCGACATTTATTTATTTATTTAAAGAAACACCAACAGCATATTGCATTATAACACATATAACAAACATTAAATATAATACAATATTAATGCACTTGCCTATTAAAGGTTATCACAGCATTCACTTTAACATAGTTATACAGTGCGAGGAAATGAAGTAACAAATATAATGAGTTAAATAACACTAGACTACAAATATTTTAAAAGTTGCATTATTAGTTATAGAAATATACATGTAACCTAAGTTGTGAGCAATATTAGTAAATACGATTATAAGTGAATTAAATTAATATTATAATATATATATATATATATATATATATATATATATATATATATATATATATATATATATATATATATATATATATATATTGAAACATATTCCTTTTTAAAAGACTGGCAACACACCCGCAATTTCTATAACGTTGCGTGTGCCTATTATATGGACGATGGTAATCACTTACTATCAAGCTAACCGCATGCTCGTTTGGCCCATGTGTTAAAAAAATCTATTTGCAGGTAGACTATTATTAGGTATTTGCATTTCTACATTCTAAATTCAATTTTTAATCGATGTATCAGAATAATGTCTTATCGATTATCGGAATGTTTTATTACGATTGATGCCACTGTTTTTTTGCGGAGCAAAATTTCAAATACATTTTGCCCTGTAAAAAACAGAAAAGAATAATTAAAACAATCTTCAATTACCTATTCCTTTAAACAATTTAATTTGTTCATTGACGTTTGCTGGCATCGAGCCCACGAATCGTGTTGTTTGGATTTACAAATAGTAAAGTACAATATACCAAGTATAAATCTACAGTGTCTACTTGTTGACACTTGGATCTGTATCATTATTAGGTAGTTGTAAGCAGGTGAGAGTAAATTATTAATAAATGGTATTTGAATTATTAATTAACATTATTAAAAATAGGAATACTCAATTAGCCTATATTTATTTATTTTTGTCATTTCACGTGATAAATTTACAATTCTGTACCGATTTTAACAATTCTTTTTACACTCGATTTGTAGTGTTTACTCTTGTATTGGTCTTATATTAACTTTGTCACTTGTTTTTTTTAAGTGATTTCCATAAGCAGTAGGTTTTACGTACGAATACGTTTGTATTTTTTTTTGTTATAATTTTAGTCCCTTATTTGTGGAGTGATTAAAAATAATATTGTTTGTTTTAGGAAACATGTCTACCCAGCCCGAGGAACAGGAGCAAGCTCGCTGCTCGTCCAGCGAAAGTGACAACTTTGAGAAGGTGGAGTCAGAAGACGTTCAGAATGGTGACAATGTAAGTTCTTTGATTAATATATATATATATATATATATGTATATATATACTTCATTACCGCCCAATGGTTTGTTTAAAATTAGGTTCTGGGTTCGAATTCTGATCGAGCCAATTTAATTTTTTGCATTGACTCTGGATTAGATTATGGTGTTCTGAGTACTACTCCTAGATGCCCTTTAAACTGGTACCAGTTCTAACTATGATTCTGGTATACAGTTTTTTGTTATACTGGTAGACTGGTACAGTCTGGTACCAGAACCATAGATAAATATATAGATAGAGTGTCTCCATACAAATGCTTTGAGAAAAGCAGGTCAAGTTTTTCATACAATTTTGCGTGATAAATAGTTACGAGTGATTCCTTTATAACTTTATATTTATTTTCTATATTTTTTTTAATGCGTAAACACTCATTTTATTTATTAAATAATTAAATATAGATACGTTGTGTGCGTAATCATATAGAACACTGATATTAAAACAAGTCAGCCTATTCGCTGAAAAAAGTTGACCCGTTTTTGAGACTCGATACCTCTAACTATATAATCTAAGCTCAGAAGATAGTGTATCCTAACTTGAGGAGTAGGGGGGGAAAGGGATTGTTAGTAATGAAGACCGAGAATCCCATTGCTAGCAATATACCCAACCAGGTCGACCTCCTCGCTGTTCCCCCTGAAAACTACCATGGTTAATTCCTGATGAATTCATCATGATGGGCTAACTGGCCTGTTTTCATTCTCATCTATCACCCTTCACTGGTGCCTCCGCCAGCGTATCCCGTTAGCGCAGGCGGGGTTACCATACCATTTTCACCCATCAAAAAAAAAAAAAAAAACTTGAGTAGTAGGTGATTGGTGTGATGCTCTCATTATTTTATTTTATTTATTTATTTATTTATTATCTGATTCTACTATTATCATCCACTAGTTCCTGTACTATTACCAAATTTGGACTCTATGTTCATAAATGGTCTTTCTAGGTTGACAGTAATATTTTCCACGCAATTTCAGGTCGATGTAAACTTCTTGGTTGGGGACGACGGGGACCAAGAACCCGAGGACGACACGGACGAGGGACCGGCCCACGAGGGTAGGGACACTTTCCCGAATGCGCCGCCGCCGAATATCCGCCGCGTGCTGACACCCGCGCAGCAAATGGCTTTGGCTGAGAAGAGGAGCAGGCTGCGGTGAGTTTATGGATTTTTCATTACACATAATATTTGAGAGGGGGAGGTGGAGGGGGTAGGTGGACCTCGTCCATGCGTCCTATAGACATGAACAATACCACGGACATTATAGAGTATACTGTGTCGCCCATGATACCCTTTATGCGTTGCCATTCCTCAGGACTTGTCTAAGTTTTAGGTTTCATAGTCAAAAGATTAAAAAATATTAGAACTGCCCATTAATTACTTGACTGTTTTTCCGCCTGTCTGTGTGTTTATTTGTTTTATCATCATCATTTCAGCCATTATCCGTCTACTGCTGGGCATAAGCCTTCCCCATAAGAAGAGTTTTGGCAATAGTTGCCACGCTTGGCAGGCGGGTTGACAACCGCAGTTAGATTTTAAGAGATGTTTTAAGAGGGACGCTGCTGCCCATCTCTCCCTTAGTCGACTCTTACGACACCTACGGGAAAGGAACGGGTGTCCTATTCTATGCCGGGACCATACGGCGGTTTATTCGATTAATCATAACAAATTCATCGGACGACTCGTATTACGTTAATTGAATAACATCGTATAGTCGTTGACCTATGCAATCTATGGCATAATGTGAAATATAGACCACCGGTTTGTTACGTAACGCTCGTTCGTGTGACGAATATGGCTATTGAATACCTTCGAGGTACTTGCTATGTACAAATGTAACATCCAACATGGTCACTGTAGAGGGCGTTACGTATTAGGGCTGTCAACACGAAATGAGATTTATTCGTAGAACATAACTGTAGTTTCTTAACCCTTCTTTGCATGATGGTGGAAATTTCCATCGTAACATTGAATGCCCAAAAATTATATAAAAGAACAAGTTCACTTTAAGTTGATCGTGTCTAGATTTTAGACCTTTTTTAGTGTCCATTGCAGAAAAAAAAACATAGCTGTCAAATTTGTTTTTTTAACCATTTTTATTTTAATTTTGAACATGAATTATATCACCTTCATTTATTTCACCAATAAAAAAAAATCATGCAAAAAAGGTTTTTTTTTGTGATGGGTGAAAATGGTATGGTAACCCCGCCTGCGCTAACTGTATACACTGGCAGAGCACCAGTGAAGGGTGATCGATGAGAATGAAAACAGGCCAGTTAGCCCATTATGATGAATTAATCAGGAATTAACCATGATAGTTTCCAGGGGGAACCGCGAGGAGGTCGACCTGGTTGGGTATATTGCTAGCAATGGGATTCTCAGTCTCCATTACTAACAATCCCTTTCCCCCTGCAAAAAAGGGTTAAGTTACAGTAGGTACTAATATTATATTATAATTTTAAATGGGTATAATAGTCGTGGGTTTAGAAATGGGCTCTTAAATAGGTTAATATAAAAACCTGTGTTAATGGGCCATAGCCATAGCGCATATAAAGTAACTACAACAAGGTTGTATACATAGTTTAACAGATTTCGAATATTTAATTAAATACTCGAATGGCGTTCCCATTGCATGTATGTTCAAACATTACAGAAATAAAAACATTAGACGAATAAACCAGCTCGTCTAGAGTATTTTTTTTTTTGATTTTTTTAGAAAAAGTATATTATTGTGTTGACCATTGGCCAGTAGGTACAAAGTATATATAATTTATTAAATTCGTCCGCGTTTTTTTTGTGGACGTGGTACATGAACACCTCATAAATTCTAATAATTCTTTTTGCAAACGTCGAAGTTTAGGTAGTACAATAAACAGTTTTTTTGATACGCATGCAAAAGTGCTTTAATCGTCACATTATTAATATAAGACTACAAAAACCATAATAAATAAAACATCGATATAAACAATATATATAATCGTATAAATATAATGTGTTATTATATGTATTATTTATATTCATATAAATATATAGTACATTACTGCAGCGGCCAGCAACTGAGGCATTGTTGGACGAACGTGCAAATGTGAGACGAGGCGTAGACGAGGCACACATACGTGAGTCCATCAATGCCTAGTTATGGCCAAGGCTTGTATAGTAGATACTTTTCTCAAACAATGCGCGGAAATCAAAAACATAATTTTACTTTTTAAGTTCAATGACGAATAACGAACAATAATAATTTTTCACGCGTCATAATGTTCCTTTGTTTTTTTTTTCAATAAACAGCTTCTATTTGCAAGCCAGTTCGAAATTTAAATAAAACCTTTTATTAGTTACTTACTTGGTAGCCATGTTTTGAAGTAAAAGGTCATTCCATTTTTAAATTACAGGACAGATATGAGTTTACATAGTATTTTATCTGACCGCAAAATACAACAGATAGGATTTTCATACAACTTTTGCCGGCCGCAGCCCGCATGTATCTGGCCAGTACGGCAATTTTGATTTATCTCTACATAGATTGTCAAAATAATACTCACATTTTCAAGTATGTTTGAGAAAAACTATATAAACTACCCAAAGAATCGTGATACGTGGCGAATGCGGTAACAGTTGTAAAAAATCAGAAGAAAGAAGAATTGATATAAAAAGATTTTTATAAAGTGAATATAGTGGTGAAATTATAGGCTAAGATCAAGGTATAATACCATAGTTCTTAGGATGTAGTGTAAATTGGACTCTCTTTTCCGCGCTTAGCCTCTTATTTGGGCCGTTATGCGTATGAGGATGGCATGGCCCTTAGGAATGGCAACGTATAAGTGTACAGTGGGCGTAACAGTGTATTCTGTAATGTACATGGTCCTGCAAAAGAATGACGATTTAAAAGTGCTTGTAAACAAGTCTATTTGAATAAATGCCTGCTATGTTCATGCCTGTAGGTGACAGTTTTTTTATGGGTGAAAATGGTATGGTAACCCCGCCTGCGCTAACGGGATACGCAGGCGGAGCACCAGTGAAGGATGATAGATGAGAATGAAAACAGGCCAGTTAGCCCATCATGATGAATTCATCAGGTATTAACCATGATAGTTTCCAGGGAGAACCGCGAGGAGGTCGACCTGGTTGGGTATATTGCTAGCAATAGGATTCTCAGTCTCCATTACTAAAAATCCCTTTCCGCCCTGTAGTTACCACTTTTCATCAGATGCCTTGTTCACCACTCTAAGTCGCATAAAAAAAAAACATTTTTGTTAGGAATTACAATTTTTGCGAAACAAAATTATTATAACTTACGTGGTGAGGGGGGAAGGGATTGTTTATAATGCGGACTACCAATCCTATTGATAGCAATATATCCTGTCAGGTCGACCTCCACGGTGTCTCCCTTGGAAACCATCATGCTGAATTCCTGGTGTATTCATCACGATTGGCTAATTAATCTGCCTTTTCATCCTCACCTATTATCTCTCACTGGTGACCCGACAGCGTATACCGTTAGCGCAGACGGAGTTACCACTCCATGTCATGCATTAAAAAAAAAACTCACGTGGTTGGTAACCCTAGCTCCTATATCGGCGGCAGAATTGGCGGCAAAAGCAGAAGCTGTAGTTATAATCTAGCCTTCGCGGTTTGAGCACGTCTTTGTACAGTTCATAATACTCGAGTGTCGATATATTTTTCGAAAAAATAAAAATAAATACGGTAAGCCATGTGATAATAATGTGATGTGTTCAAGTGTGTGTTTGTGTTTTTTTTTTTTAATTATTAATTGTGCTTTTAAGAAATTGTCTATGATAGTTGGGATTGTTTACATTTTCAATAAGAGTTAGTACCTACTCGCACATAGCCATGGATCTTTATTTCTTGTTACAAATACATTATTTAAAAGTCAGCAATACGTACGTAGGTTTTTATTTATTTAAGTATAACATAACAAAAGAAATACAATTTATTTTGTAATGAATTTCAAAAGGAAAAATGGCAGGCATATTCTTAATTCAATGGTATTTATTATATTTTTGTTTACATATAGGTATGTTACGCAATATTTTCGTCTGTTCAAAGTCCTGATTCATCGAACCGATGTTGATGATTATTTTTGAGTAAAAACGATTTAGTCACTTCCGTGTTGAGTCCATATTAATTTTGTTGCTAAATTTCAAAAATAACAAGTTTCTCAATTTGGTTATATTTTTTTTTTATGTTAGTTACTTCATAATTGCTTTAATTCTAAATCTATTTTGGAAAATTATTTATTTATCTGAAAGGAGAAAAATTTTTTCCAAATTGGCTTAGAACTGAGGGAGTTTTTGAAAAAGGACACTTGTACCTTCGGCTCATAGTTTTTTTTTTTTTTTAAGTCAGTCTAGTACTTTAGTTTTTAAATCAAAATAACTGGTTTTCCCACAAATGAAGTCTGTTGTTTTTTGTGGAACATAATTATAATTATATATACATTCTTCTCTGCTTCCATTTAAGGTTTTTAAAGCGACTTCGACAAAGAGGTAGTTCTCTATTCGTCTATATTTTTTTCGTGTGTATGTATGTTACGCGATATCTTGGTCAAATCTGAATACATTTTGATAATTAATTGCCCAGTGAATAAGGTTTATTTAAAATTATTTCCGTGTTGTTTCAATATCAATTTTGTTACGATTGTCATCGCTTTTTTGTGGAACATAACCCCACCTATGGCTGGTATAGTGGCTCTTTGTGTGGTCCCGGGATAGAATGTGCCATCCCTTCCTTTCCCGTGGGTATCGTACAAGGCAACTAAGGAAACTTAATTGGTCGAGGGATGTGCAGCAGCGTCCTTCTTAAACCATCTCTAATAATCGGCTTATAACTGGCTGATTTATAAAGTAACAATCATAAAAAAGTATAACCGAATTAAGAACCTCTTTTTTGAAGTCGGTTAAAAAAAATTAGATTACTAGTCAATAGTCACGATTAATGTTTTACTTTTTTTTTTTTGCGAAACTATTTCCTGTTTATGTTATTATTTATAATACAATAATGGCATACCAACTGTACCTAGCACTAGGATAATATAATTAATTTAATATCACTTATACCTAATGGTGATAATATTTGCTAATTAGACATAATTAATATAAATTATATTTAATTAGCAAATATGTAGAGATAGATAG